GACAGTACCATTTTCAGTTTTACCTCCCTACCAAGTTTGACCCTAGATTTCCCAGGAGCCAACGCAGGGGCGTAGCTTCCATAGAAAGAAGCCCGGGCTTACACATACAAAAAAATCCGTGCATAGAGTATGTCGTACAAAATCACAAAACTAAGGTTGAAAATAAATATCAGGGGTTGAAGTTTGTTTTTAAATAAATATAAAAAACTGTCTCAGAAAACGATTCAAAACATCTTTGAAATCGTGAAATTCAGATCCCTCGTCTGGGCTTACACATTTCAGCTGGGCTAGCTACGCCCCTGGGCCCACGCGCAATCTTATGTTTTTGTATCTGCAGTATAATAAACTTATCACCTTGTGGCTGTGGCTTAGCCCAGGTTTGCACTCCTCCTTAGCTAGAGAGAAGAGGGAACAATAAGGTGCACGGTTTTCCGACGATTCTAAAAACACGAGGGGAAGGACGTTGAAAATTCCATTTGCAAGGTGTTCCAACATTTTGCGCCTCTCACAGACTCAGTAACGGCGCGCAAAGTTTCAGCAGTTTTAGCAATAGAATTGTTACTTACCTAGAACCAATGAATGTTGTATCTATTATATTTTTTCGCACTTTCACTGATGTCACTTCGAATGCGTGCTTTATTATCATCACCCCGCCGGATAAATAACTTTCGTCTTAGATACTGACCATCAAAGGATTTACATTAAGTTACCAACACACTTAATTAAAGCGAGTTTCCTATCATTCTATTGTGCTACCTCTACCCGAGTTATCGTTCCTTAAGTTCACAATGCATTCAGGAATGCTTTTCAGTACAAATACTAAACTTGTTATTTTCAAGTAAAATATATATTGTGCCCTAAAAACTTAAACTTCACTGTGAAAAAATGTAACGAACTTCTAAACTCCAAGTATGTAAGAATTAGTTGCCTCATACGATCATGTAGAGGAATAATGAAAGACATTCCTTTCAACAACAACTCCTCCCCCCCACTCCATCTCTAAAAAATGTGGTTGAGTAAATAGACAAAATGATGACAATCCATTTTATCAGTGAATGTATACAATCTGCTGAGTTTTTCGTTTACAACAGAATCTTGTAAAACAACAAATTAGATACAGTCTTACCATGTAGTCTGTTCGTCCCGTTTTCACATCCGTCCATTGAGTTAGCGGACACAAACAGCGGTCCTGGAAGGAAGGAAAGTGTTCATAGCAAGTAGATGTTCACAGTTAAATTATAAACAGATGTGAGAAATCTACTTCTACTCTTAAAAACCAATAAAAAAATTTAAAAAAAAAGAAGATTTTTTTTGTTATCGATGAAAAATTATTGACAACGGCATGTTCGTTATTTTGAATAAATAGTTACATTCCTTAGACGTGTTAATAAAGTCATATGTTTATAATACATGTAATTATTTGTCAGATTACGTGTAGTTTTCTTGCATAAGGGGAAAACACATTTGCAATGTTAACTAATTTTTAACACTGACACGCAATAAAAAAAAGAAAGAATGAAAAAGGTAATAACTATAACAAACATATAAAGAAAAACTATCGATAGATGCACACCGTCACGTGATATTTACCTTGAAACATGTTGACAATGACATAAGATGTAAACAAGAAGAGGGCCCAGTAACTCATCATTGTCGTAAGTCAGGCTTATCTCTAATCCTCAAACGGTCTCTTCAAAATTTAGCTCATAAAAAAGTCTTCAAGTTCAGGTAAGAGCGATCCGGTGACTTCATTAACACCTGTAGCACCTGTACTACGTAAGAACATAAACACAGGTACATATACAGGTATGTCACATTCTATCTGTCAAGCTCCTAATAGTTTGTGATTTATGTCTTTGAAATGCTTGTAATGATTGACGTTTGTTAAAGAACATGGTACTGCATACCACAAAGATTCCTAGACATTTAAACAGTACTTGTTATCGTCACATTAACTCGGCTATCACGTGTACATTAGTATGGAGGACCACTAGCAGCAACAGAAGTCTACTACGACTAGAATATCTAACTTGTTTTCTGTTTGCTTGTGTGATTATGTTGCTCTTTGTTTCGTTTTGGTGTGATCGCCTAGTGTATGGTTACATTTTGTCGAGTCATTTTGAAGTGAGGTCACATCTAGTAGATTTCATCTGTGTCACTAAACATCATACGGAAGGCCTGTCTGTTGATCAGGGACAAAATTCTTGCCCAGAATACAACATGGGATGGTCGGTAACCTCAGATTTCTGAAACGCAAAACGCTCCGGGAAGGAATCGAACCACACACCTCGGATCTTCAACGTGCTTTCATGAAAAAATGGTAACGAAATGACGGTTAAGAATTTCGGACACGCGACAAGCCAAAGGAATTAAATGGTTAAAAAAAACACATGTTTGAAGCAGTATTTTCATGTAAAGAAACGTCTGGCTTCACATGCAACGTTAAAATTTCGTTTCTGAACCGCGCATACGCTTTTTGCTAACATTTATTTACAAGGAGAAATTCTCATTGAAGTGAATGTTTGAACTTGTTTCCCATACCTGTGACAGACACTGCTGGCGGGGTCTTGGTCTCCCGGGTTTACCGTAACCCGCATGCCCCATTTTAATTCAAGTGCACTTGACGTTAAAAACGAAATGTACTAAGGTTAGGGCGTTACTCCTAACCAATCTCTAAAAATATATTTCTTTTAAATTTTTAAAATTTTTCTCAGTCGCTCCTAGGTCTAAAGATTTCGGCATCACTGATGAAATCGTAGAAGGACGAAACAGCTGATGCACTTTGAATTCATCATTTGGCCTTACCTTTATCTAACTCTAAATTTGTATTCAAAAGTGCAATTCATTTGTGTGTCTTTTGTATACCCGTATTGCAAACATGCATAGACCTTCCTCGATTGTATCGAAGTGCTATTTTGAAGAGAAAAAATGAAGTTTATTGCCGAGTAAGAGGTTTTATTTAATCGCGTTGCCGTCACCGAAAAACAACCACTATAGATTGGTACGCGGGATATACAAGTATGTTGTGCTGAAAACGATTATAAATACTTAAACACTGGCATGGACGCCTGTGGCTGGCGTATGTATATGATGCAGGTAATTCACAACTCTTGTCATACCTCTGTATAGATATTGGTGATTGGGATATTCTGGTGTGAGGTCAATTAAACTTGACTAGGGTTTCATACTTTAGGAGAAAGGCGTGGCCGGTATACTTTACGTGAACTGTGTTTTTTGTCATAACACTGACATTTCACTACTTTTAATTCGTTAAAGTTTCACCCTTTACAAAGCTGCCTATTATTTCACAAACAAAGGTGTAAAACACTTGCACAATTGTATGAGTAATTTTGACAATAAAAAAAAAAACATCGACAAAATATCTAAAATTTTAAAGAAACTCATTAAACGTTAACATGAAGCGGAAGAAAAAAAAACAGGAACACGGCGCCGGTGGCAAATGAAAGCTTTCGTCAGACGATAGCAATTATGGGACCGTAATTGTCATATATGTGCTTAAAGACACGCGGTCACGCAGAGTTGTACCATTACCCAGGCTAAAGACAGGGTTAAATGTATTGCATTTCAAACCACGTTCTCTAGATCACAGATCGAAAGAGGATACTTTTATCAAATTCGTCCGCCCCTCTGGGTCAGAGGTCAAAGTCACTCAACTATGCTTTTAAGTTCTATTGCTTGGGAGTGCTTTTAATGTGGAAACAAAAAGTCAATATCATTGTTACTACCAATAGAAAATAATTAGTTGCCAGATCGAGTAATGTTGAGCCGATCACCTTAACACAGTAATGACTTTTTTGTCGGGCCTTCCAGATTAGAAAACACCGCTTGGGTGATTTTAGAATTAAAAAAGCATACTCAACCATGCTCTCCAGTGTCTCCAGAAGGCTTCTACGGAAATACTCAGACGACTGTGAACTGTGATTGTGAACTATCAGACAGTGAATAATCAAGTCAGAAAACTACACCACTGTCTGTGACTTAAACAGGAAGCATTGTAAACAGAATACCCTACTTTAAGTGACCTTGACACAAGGTACTGTCGACAGAATGCCTTACTTTCTGTGACTTTGACACGAGGTACTGTCGACAGAATAACCTACTTTCAGTGACCTTGACACGAGATAATGTCGACAGAATACCCTTCTGTGTGATCTTAACATGTGGTAGTGCGTCAGAACACTCTACTGTGTGACCTTAACATGAGGTACTCTGGACAGAATACCCTTCTGTGTGACCCTGACATGAGGTACTGTAGTTAGAATATCCTACTGTCTGTGTGACCTTGACATGGGGTAGTGTAGTCAGAATATCCTACCGTGTGTGTGACCTTTATATGAGGTACTGTAGTCAGAAAAATCTCCGTGACCTTAACATGAGGTACTCTGGACAGAATACCCTTTTGTGTGACCTTGACATGAGGTACTGTAGTCAGAACACTACTGTGTAACCTTGACATGAGGTACTGTCGACAGAATGCCCTACTTTCCATGACTTTGACACAAGGTACTGTTGACAGAATACCCTACTTCCTGTGACTTTGACAAAAGGTACTGTTGACAGAATACCCTACTTTCTGTGACCTTGACTTGAGATAATGTCGAAAGAATACCCTACTTTCTGTGATCTTGACACGAGGTACTGTCTACTGAATACCCTACTTTCAGTGACCTTGACACGAGGTACTGTTGAAAGAATACCCTTCTTTCTGTGACCTTGACAGAGATAATGTCGACAGAAAACCCTACTTTCAGTGACCTTGAACAAGATAATGTCGAGAGAATACCCTTCTGTGTGACCTTGACATGAGTTATTCAGCAAATCTGACTTTCAAAATGGAAGATAGGTTAGTCGGTTTATTAAATATGACATCCTGTCTTACCTTATCAGTATCTGACATCCTTGTGTCAATTTAAACATTTTTCAATTCATTGTATGGAATGTAGGGTTACTGAGAAAAAAATAAAGACATAATAACCAGGTTTTATACACAAGTACTTTTTATTAATTTATTCTTATTATAAACAAGATATGACATAAAAACATAATGAAAAATAACAATGAAACAAATTCCTAATGTTAGTATCTTAATCTCTTGATGTGACAAGTTTTTTATTTCATGGTATTCAAAATGAGTAATCTATATGTGTAATATTCCTGTAGTCTTATTTCTGTATAACAGACCATACTCAGCATGTATACAGTTTATTCATAATCACATCACATTTTAAGCACTGTGCCCCACGATCACATGCTCTACATCTGCTACATGATTGGAGATATTTAAAAAATCCTTTTTCATCTAAACTGTTATTCAAGATATCATAATACACTTCTAAGTATCATCTCAATGAACTGTAAGGGTAGCGATACAACAACACATGTTTGTGTGTTACAAATCTAGTCTACCTTCTAATCAAGAGTTTAAGAGAGGTTTTACCTTTCATTAGTATTTCATTATAAATATTTATCGATACTACAGTCAACTGAGGTGAATATAAATAAATAAAACAGAATGTTTTTTCCCCTTATTTTGAAAACATTTTTACACAATCTCCTTTTATTTTTGTAACCAATCTTAAAAGTTTTGAAATTTTACATCATTTCTGTTCTTTTCTTAAACCGAATTTCATATTCTTAAAAAATTCAAATCTTGCTGACACACTGAAAATTAATCTTTGTATCAAAGTGTGAAGGTATCATCTTGTACACACTGGTGGCAATTTCTTTTCAAAATTCAACAATATTGATTTATGGTCATGATTAAAGGGATAGATCTCCACTTTGCTTAAGTAGTTTTTATATGAGTCAATAGTGTATGCTGTCTTCAATCTGGTTCAAATTACCCAGCAGTTTTGAAAAATTGAAAATGGAGGACAGATGACAGATGACAGACCCTGTAGTATGTCATATGCTCGCTGAACCCTTTGGGCCAGGTAAGCTAGTAAACATATACACTGTATTACTATTCCATTTGGAACACATCTTAAGATTTTTCTGTGGTATGGATGGAACACATCATAAGATTTTTCTGTAGTATGGATGGAACACATCTTAAGATTTTTCTGTGGTATGGATGGAACACATCATAAGATTTTTCTGTGGTATGGATGGAACACATCTTAAGATTTTTCTGTGGTATGGATGGAACACATCATAAGATTTTTCTGTGGTTGCCAAATTCCTAGATATTGTAAAAATTACTGTTGGAGGTTCAAATATTCATGTTGAACCATAAGCTTGCAGTAAAAACAATGATTTTTTCACAGAAATCATGCAATGCCACAAACTTTTCTTCATGTATTTTATTTTCATATGTATCGATTTTTGTTTCTTTATTGTATTTCTGAATAAAGAAAAGAAGAGGAACACCATACATTTAACTACAAAATAGCAAAAGCACAACACAATGGTCCTTGGGAAATTGATTTAAAATCTATAGGAATGTCATGTAATACAGGTACTAAACAGAATACACAGAGAAACAAAAATCATTGCACTAATTATTTGATATAATACATAATGGCTGGAGTTGTTGATGAATTGATTTGTATCCCCTACACAGCTGTCAGTGGATCAACCTGTACCCCCTACACAGCTGTTAGTGGATCAACCTGTACCCCCTACACAGCTGTCAGTGGATCAAACCATATCCTCTACACAGCTGTCAGTGGATCAACCTGTATCCCCTACACAGCTGTTAGTGGATCAACCTGTACCCTCTACACAGCTGTCTGTGGATCAACCTGTACACCCTTCACAGCTGTCAGTGGATCAACCTGTACCCTCTACACAGCTGTCTGTGGATCAACCTGTACCCCCTACACAGCTGTCAGTGGATCAAACTGTATCCTCTACACAGCTGTCAGTGGATCAACCTGTACCCCCTACACAGCTGTCAGTGGATCAACCTGTACCCCCTAACAGCTCTCAGTGGATCAAACTGTATCCTCTACACAGCTGTCAGTGGATCAACCTGTACCCCCTAACAGCTCTCAGTGGATCAAACTCTACCCCCCTACACAGCTGTCAGTGGACCAACCTGTACCCCCTTCACAGCTGTCAGTGGATCAACCTGTACCCCCTACACAGCTGTCAGTGGATCAAACTGTACCCCCTACACAGCTGTCAGTGGATCAACCTGTACCCCCTACACAGCTGTCAGTGGATCAACCTGTGTCCTGTATCCCATACACAGCTGTCAGTGGACCAACCTGTACCCCCTACACAGCTGTCAGTGGATCAACCTGTACCCCCTACACAGCTGTCAGTGGATCAAACTGTACCCCCTACACAGCTGTCAGTGGATCAACCTGTACCCCCTACACAGCTGTCAGTGGATCAACCTCTACCCCCTACACAGCTGTCAGTGGATCAAACTGTATCCCCTACACAGCTGTCAGTGGATCAACCTGTATCCCCTACACAGCTGTCAGTGGATCAACCTGTACCCCCTACACAGCTATCAGTGTATCAACCTGTAACCCCTACACAGCTGTCAGTGGATCAACCTGTTCCCTCCACACAGCTGTTAGTGGATCAACCTGTACCCCCTACATAGCTGTCAGTGGATCAACCTGTACCCCCTACACAGCTGTCAGTGGTTCTCAAAATACATACAATATATACTATCAACATTATCTATAATGTGGTGATAAAAAAATACATGGTAACAAATTCTCTACAGTGGTGAGATCACAAAGCTTGACAATGTATCATTTAATTTCTACAGTGCTTCTTGTACAGTTTTGTATATTTTTCTTTTTAAAATCATGTAGCTGATTGCTGGATAACATGTAAGTCCGTTGAATTTCAGTGGTAAATTATATCTTAGTAATGAATGTCATCGTAATGGAAAATCATGGTTTAACAATATTACTGTAAAGTCACACTTTTTTGCAGAGCTGAATTTTCGTCATTACAAAAAAAAAAAAAAAAATTTAATAAAAGGAAACTTCCCTGGACACTTAATTTTGTGGATAAATATAGCTAAATGAACCTATTACTATCAATTTTAACAGTTTGTGGACAAATGAATGCACAGATTAAGAAAACAACGAAAATAAAACCCCACGAAAATGAATGATTTCACAGAAAATTATATTTTGGCAGTAATCTTATTTCAGCACTTCTGGTGTATAAACATTGCACTCAAATAAAGACTCTGACGAATTGTTTTACATATACTGCTGGATTGCCTTTTCATCCTGGTGCTAAACTAAAACTTACCAGGCTTAAACATCATAACGAGCCAAAAATAGTTAGCTCGAAAACCATAAAATGTGACCAAAAAAAATCAAGTCCACAATACAGGTTTAATGTACAGCTCTGAATGGGATGCAAAATACTTTAAGATAAAACAAATGTTTTTAGAAAATAATACTAAGTGTTTTAGTGAGCAAATTTCCCCCACAAAACAGGATGATGTGATTGATATCAGGAACACCTAAATTCATTCATAAAAACAGATTTCTTGTTTCCGGATATCTTGGGGTCAGAAAATTACTTTAAAATCTTTCACCATTTATCCATCAAGATCACTTTAATCTATAATACTTTGTCTCAGGAATAATTTGAACGGTGAAAATGAGAAAACAAGTGATAACTGTGGAAAAAAAGCTTTGTGATCAGTGACTTAAAATAGACTATAAAACTCTATTCAACAACAAATTTTCATGGTGGAATGAAACTGTAAATAATTTACATAGCCTTAAAAATTAATTGAAATTCTATTTAATAATCTTTAAAAGTAGCTGATAAATACTACATAAACACACTTATGCAAAGTCATTTTAATATCTCATACAATTATAAAAAAAAATTTGAAATAAATTTTCTACTACTTCAAGTGAAATAATTAAAAAAAAAAAATTAATTTTTATTTTAAAATTTCATTAATATTTTCTCAAGTTATCTTAGAACTCGTGTTTATAAAAAAAATCTTATAAATTAGGAGAGAGTTTTAAAAGACATGTTTGCAAATATTCTCAAAAAAAAAGTCAGTAATTTGGTCACAAATAAGATTAGAGAATTAAAATGACAAAGAGATTTACAACAGGCTGAAGGCAGTGGATGGTACAAGGCAACGTGAGGGAAACTGTTAACAATACTATATAGACAATGTTACTGTGGAATGTAACATCACCTGTGAGTTATGTCATGATGAGACAATGGCATATCAAGACAAACATGTGAAGAAATAAATTAGCAGTATTTATAAACATCAGAATACATTGTAAGAACCTGCCTGTTCTGACAATACATGAAATAGGCTTTAAACACATGAAAAATTTCCTGAATTTTTTAAAAATGAAACCAGTTTTATACATGGCTTATATCCATCAAAAGCTATATATTTAAAGTTCAGCACATAAAGAAACTAAAAATCTCTGGTTTCAATGATCAGTAAAGTACTAACAAATTTTTGTCTCTTCCCAATTGTCATCAGACACAAATATCTGCTAAATCCATATTAGCATTAATCTTACTTTAGCACTTTTTTGCACCGAAATTATTATGCTAAATTACAATAGTGATAATTGTACCAGGTAGTTTCTGAATTTGTTTGTAAAGCATTATTGTGGATGTGCAAATTCATCATTGCACTAATTTGCCAAAAAATCATAAAGCACTAAAATTTTAATGCTCTAACTTAAGTGCATTTTACAGTTTATGTATATAGTTGTTAGTAACTTTTTAATCTTAAAGTTGTGTAAATACATCAATCATTAATGCCCTTAAAGTGCAAAATCACCTGAAATCTTTACAGCATCTCCAACCAGTAAAAACAGCAGAGATTTACAATATAATTGCTGAGTTTTTGCAGCATTGTCATAGAATTTAATAAAAAATAGTGACAAATATGATTATATAGATAGTAGTATACATGTACAATATTTAGATAGTTGTGCTGAAAGGTAACTTCTACTTGACACTGAATAAACATACTGTATTTACCCTAAATTAGGCTATGTCCTGTAATAAGCCCATCCATAAGTGTTGCTAGTGGGAATGCCCAACATGTGTTATTTTATTACCCTTAATTAACCCACCTCCTGACTGTGAGTTGAGGTTATCTGAAGGTCCGTGGGTTTACTACAGGATATCTTACCATTAGTTTGTAAAGCTTTCAAAACTCTCTTTAACAACATTTACACATCAGACATCAAAAATCACTTTCTAACATTCTTGAGGCATAATTGTTTGAACTCATTTGACAAGTAAAGAAATGCAATAAATTGAAAGTAACAAAATTTTCCCAAAAAAATAAATTTTTGATTTCACTTTCAACTTTAAATCAAGACTTTTTCAGAACACTTGGTACAACCTAAATCATCTTTTTTATAGACCTGTTGTCCAAGTATTCTCATTGCTTACCACCATAGTGTATTATGTTCCCTATAACACCTGAATGGCCTGTAAGAAAACACTTCATCTATTGTGAATATTGATCCAATATTTCATTTCTGACACCTTAATCTGGAACATTATGTCATCTACAGCATTACTGAAAAGTTCATTTAAAAACATTTGTTAACAAAATGAATGGTTATTCAGGCAAAATAAAAATGAATTGATGTTATCTGGGTTGACATTAGAACACAGTTTATAAGACTAGTGCATTGACTGCTTGTGTGTGTCGCCCGACACAAGTGGCTACCATTCACCGCGTAACATTCAACAAATATAAAATATCTGTGGTAATCATCTGTATAATATTATGGTGAGAATAAATACAAAACAAATCAGCATCTCTAAATCCATCGCTGCAATAACAATTGTCAGGCCGAACCAAACCAAATGTCTGTGCTTAGAATTCTCTTCTATGCTGTATCTCTTTGAACCTCGATGCCATTATTTCAAATCTTTAATGCTTTCTCTACCTGATCAGTAACAAACAGTTCCTCCAATTTATTTTGTGTTTTGAAAGCAGAAACACAACAATGACTTTACTTGGCCTGACATTTTACTGACCAAGGACAAATGTAATCGTGTAAGATATATCACTACAACCAAATTTCCTTCAAACTTCATATTGAATTAAGATTTTGGCACACTGACAGATCTACTGTTAAATGTGATGATGAAAATGATGAATGGGTGAATGGGACCACAATTGAATAATCTCAATAATTAATACATGTGGAGGAAAAAAAAATTATATTTATGTCCTGTCTTTAGTTTTTAAATAGTTATTTACAAGCACAGTCAATGAATCTCAAAAAAGAGAGGCATGGTTACAATCAAGATGACCCGCATCGCAATGAAAAATTCTGAAAAAGATATTCTGAATATTTTCTTTGAAAAGAACCATTACAATATTGACTCAGAACCAAGACAAGAAAATCTGCAATGGTACTTCTCCACACCCTGTCCCTATCTTTGTTATAGAAAATCATGAGAAATTCTGGGGCCACTTGTCAATGTATCAAGTGCATCACTACAGCTAACTCTAATTTTCTTGTTTACATAAAAATATATATTCTGCTCAATTGTCAATGTAAGTGGTAAACTGATTTATTGTATCTGGACTGCTGATACTCAACCGGTCACTGAGACTTAAAAACCCTAGTATCAGGACCCAGATCCGATGTGTAATCTGGACAGTGTTGTTTCAATACACAGCAGAACCTCTTTGGGACAATTTACGTTTATGCATAAAAGGATGCTTTGTGTGTATAATGGAAAATTTGGTATATGGGCAAAGTGGAATCTCTTTTGTAGGGCAGTTTGGTTTTCGTGTATAGCAAAACCTTTTCGGTAAGAACACTTTGGTTTGTCAGCACAGTGGAACCTCTGTTGTCCTAACAATTGAGAGTTTTGATACTTCTGGCAAAAAAAAAAAAAAAAAAAAAAAAATTTTTCCAAGAAATCTGTGGCAGTATAACCATAAAATATATCATTGGCTACCATCGACTACAATCAGTTACAAACAAATTGTTGGAGAGTGGCATGTTACAATCACAATGTACCAAACACAGTACATTGGCCCATAATTCCAAGTGTTTATAACTTATATTTTCCGAACTATTAAGATATCAGAAATTATCCTATCACACAAATATGTGTAATCATTTAAACATATATATTTCCATTGTTCTATAAGCAGAGGTAAGTCTGGAAACAAATGATGTTAAAATATAAAGGAAACTGCTTCAGATCTAAAATAATGGCCCTATTCTTAAAGTATTTTAATAGAATAATGATAATAATAAAATAAATCACAACTGCACAATTACTTTGAAAAATGTTTAAATTTGAATTCTTGATAAAATAATTTTCATAATTTCATCTGTAATTAAAAAGGATGTTTATTATCTAAAAATGAAAAACAGCCTTTTTCTTGACAAATGATGAAAAAGTTTTGAAAACTATTTTCTTAACATGCCCTAGTGGTTAAACTGACAAGTACCAAAGTGCCAGTATTACAACACTTGGGATAAGGAACCCAAGTCTACCCTTGTATGTAATATGTTACTGATGGGAAGTTAGCATCCAGTCCAAGTGTCAAAGGTCATTATATTATGACCTTTAGTGTCACTATCCTGATCTTTGGTCACAAACACTGTCTAACTGTCCTGAAGTGCCACTGGTCCTGACCTGTCTTGCCAATGGCTAGTGCATTACAGATACTTTGCTGCTGACCACTTGGATGGGAGCCATGACGATGACCTTGGAGCTGCCAGATGGATATTGACAGCTGCCCTTGAGTTGACCGTATTCAGCACTGCTGATATACAATATCAACTCCATGTCTGATACGTTCAGCAGATGACCCTCGACGAGGAAATTCCAAGACAGCTGCAGCTGGACTTGTGGAGATTGTCAATATGGTAACTATCCTATTGTCCGGTGTCAACTCTTTAGAACTGCCTGCAGATCTTCTGGCAATGACGAGATGATATTGTCCATGTGTTTATTAAGTTTTAATAAACTCTCACTACTCACAACAATCTGATTTGTTGCAGCAAATGCCTGGAACAGGGATAGGATATATTCTGTGAGCTAGGAAATTTTCATATATGTTTATAAATACAGTTTGATCTAATATTGACTATCATACATGCTTTGAAGAGTCATGATTTGATAATCTTATCTTATATATTATAGTGATAATTTTCACTGTTTACACCAAATTTGCAATGTTTGCTGTACAATGCTAGGTATTTGCAGACATACCCTAAATGCTGTTATAAAAGATAAATGTGTAGAACCAACACCGGCGAGAACATTTCCTGGTGTAACATATCGACAAGAGGCTCACAGGGCCTGTCTCGCTCCCCTGGTTTAGTTTGCTGAAATTCATTACTTTAAACTCAAGGAAAAGCATCTTAAACATTTGTATCTAATTCCCCTATGAGGCCCCGCACCTCTTTCTCATGGGGGTTAGATCCACTATTTATACAAAAATAAGTTCTCTTCACCCAAGGATGCTTCATATAAAATCTGGACAAAATTGAATTATTCCAATAGAAGAAGGATTTTAATGAATTTGCCCTATTTCCATTATTATGCCTCTCTTGCACCAGGGGGCCGAACCCTGATGTTCCTATTAAATGTATCCCCTTCACCAAAACATGCCTTGAAACAAATTGGGATAGAATCCAGGCATTCCTACATAAGGAGAATGATCTTTAAGAATTGGCCCTATTTCCCCTATTGGGACCCATCCCTTCAGCCCCAAGGGGACTGAGTCCCAATCTGATTCCCTTTCACCCAAGAGTGCTTCAGAGCAAATATGGGCAAAATTCAACCATTCATACAGGTAAAGAAGAATTTTAAAGAATTTGGTCTATTTCCCCTTTAGTCCACGCGCCCTTCCCCCTGGGGGCTGAGACCACCAACTATACAAAAGTTGTTCCTCTTCCCAAATTTGGTCAAAATCTGTTTGTCGTTTATTACTTGTAGTGATTTGTAAGAAAAGTTGAAGGACAGACAATGACCAATGTGGTATACCATAAACTCACACGGCCATTTTCGGCAAAGTAAGCAAGAAGAACATTTTGTACAAACAAATTATCTCCATTTGCTATTAAGTAAGATTACAGTTATACTAAATATACTGACCAATTTTTCTCGTATGCGAAGGATGAGGTCAACAATCTCCACCTCCTCTTTGTCTTGTATCCAGGCCACCAGATCCTACAAACAAATCATCAATGAATTACAGGATATCTATATTTGAGGTTTACACTTTATTAAATTCATGCCTCCAGGCTTTATCACCCAATGAACAGCCAGGATCATTTTCAGACATGATCTTCTTGTCACAACCTCACAGAACAACATGTGGGAGGCACTACAAAGAGGGCACAGGATGATCCTGATAAATAATACAAACTATCATGAGCTATCATGGCCCCCATTACACTTTGAATAACTGATGTCAATAATCAGAAGTGTACTTACTGAATCACACAGAGCCTCCATATGTAGAACTTGAAGTTTCTGGTTCACTTCATGCTGGCGGTGGTAATACCAACCCTCAAAATTCTGGCTTTTGAAAAACTTGCGATATAGACCCTCCCAGTCACCTTTCACACCCGATGTCAATTGGGGGCCGGAGTGTTCCAAGGAACGTAGAAACTCCTCTGGATCAAATGGCCGCAGCCTAGGAGGCCCCTGAACAGAAGTTAATGAAACTATTCCATAAACTATATCAACTATAAATAACTTTTTACCCAAGACAGTTTTTTTTTCTTTTCTATTGGTGAATTTGAGCTACCGATAAAAAAATACATGCTAGTGCAGTTTATTTCCATGTATATGATCTCAATTAAAATGTGACAGGTTTTTTAAAATTTTCCCCAATATTTTCAATATAGAAAATTCAGTTAAAAAAAAGAGAGAAAGGCTAGGAAAGTCAAGTACATAAATACTAAGTAAAAACTGTAAAAGGTTTTACAACTGTTCAAATTTTCATGGTTAAAGTAACTTGAAGTGGTTTGTATTCTTCACAAAAATCATGAAACAGTCTATGAATTTTGAAAAGACAGTATCAAATTTATTGATAAGGTAAACATTTTTGTGATAAATGACATCTTCGAAAATATCGAAAACAGAACCCCCCAACCTGCTTTACGGCATAATAATCACCATCATGAATTTTATACCAAACATCAATCAGTACATGTATCCCTAATTGTGATATAGTCGGTCATAGTCACTAAATAACTTACCTTGTGAGGTGATATGTTACGTTGTAGAGGCATCAAACTGGCCATGTATCTCTCCTGTCAAGTAAAAAATATAACTACACAGTTACAATGTGACTAGCTATTTATTTCTCTGTTCAGCAACAATTTTATTATCTCACAAGATCGAGACTATGGTAGAGCATTTTGTTATATTTCTAATAAATCTACAGAAGATATTAGTGAACCAATCAGAAGACGAGGGTTTTCAGTCAGATAAAATAAGAATACAAGTATGTTTATCTGATGCAGTTACACGTATCATAAAGTATGTTTATCTAATGTATTTACCAGAGGTATCATAAAGTATGTTTATCTAATGTATTTACCAGAGGTATCATAAAGTATGTTTATCTACTGTATTTACCAGAGGTATCATAAAGTATGTTTATCTAATGTATTTACACATATCATAAAGTATGTCTATCTAATGTATTTACCAGAGGTATAAAGTATGTTTATTATTGTATTTACCAGAGGTATCATAAAGTATGTTTATCTATTGTATATACCAGAGGTATCATAAAGTATGTTTATCTAATGTATTTACACGTATCATAAAGTATGTCTATCTAATGTATTTACCAGAGGTATAAAGTATGTTTATCTATTGTATTTACCAGATGTATCATAAAGTATGTTTATCTATTGTATATACCAGAGGTATCATAAAGTATGTCTATGTAATGTATTTACCAGAGGTATCATAAAGTATGTTTATCTATTGTATATACCAGAGGTATCATAAAGTATGTCTATGTAATGTATTTACCAGAGGTATCATAAAGTATATTTATCTATTGTATATATTTACAGAGGTATCATAAAGTATGTCTATGTAATGTATTTACCAGAGGATCATAAAGTATGTTTATCTAATGTATTTACACGTATCATAAAGTATGTTTATCTAATGTATTTACCAGAGGTATCATAAAGTATGTTTATCTATGTATTTACCAGAGGTATCATAAAGTATGTTTATCTATTGTATTTACCAGAGGTATCATAAAAAGTATGTCTATGTAATGTATTTACCAGAGGTATCATAAAGTATATTTATCTATTGTATATACCAGAGGTATCATAAAGTATGTCTATGTAATGTATTTACCAGAGGAATCATAAAGTATGTTTATCTATTGTATATACCAGAGGTATCATAAAGTATGTCTATGTAATGTATTTACCAGAGGAATCATAAAGTATGTTTATCTATTGTATATACCAGAGGTATCATAAAGTATGTCTATCTAATGTATTTACACATATCATAAAGTATGTCTATGTAATGTATTTACCAGAGGTATCATAAAGTATGTCTATCTAATGTATTTACACATATCATAAAGTATGTCTATCTAATGTATTTACACATATCATAAAGTATGTTTATCTAATGTATTTACACATATCATAAAGTATGTTTATCTATTGTATTTACCAGAGGTATCATAAAGTATGTTTATCTAATGTATTTACCAGATAAATCATAAAGTATGTTTATCTATGTATTTACCAGAGGTATCATAAAGTATGTTTATCTAATGTATTTACACATATCATAAAGTATGTTTATCTACTGTATTTACCAGAGGTATCATAAAGTATGTTTATCTAATGTATTTACACATATCATAAAGTATGTTTATCTAATGTATTTACACATATCATAAAGTATATTTATCTAATGTATTTACCAGAGGTATCATAAAGCTATGAGTGAGTTCCAGGAAGTGACGTCGTAATATTGCATTCTGGGCCTCCGGAGGTCGTTTACTCTGGATACCCTGGTAACACAACAATAACCATAAATTACAAAACATGACCTTGAACTTTCTATATAATTTGATGTCTTTAAATACAACATATACAAAAAATGTCCATAGAATTCCTTTTGAAATATCCTAATTCCCCAGGGATAACTACATGCCTCCATGAAAGTACAACTTGTGACAATATTTTCCATCATTTTGTGTAAAAAAAAAGAGCAACATAATCAAAGACTATATATTTCTAATTCATTCTGTGACAAGAAGAAATTGAAGACTATATATTCCAGTATATTTAGTGCATTATTGTAAATCTCATATTATTTTTCATAATAAGATAAATACAACAATTTGAAAATGATTGTCAGTCACACAGAAAATGTTACTCAGTCTGACAACCTTCCACTGAGACACTTGGACAATGATTGTCAGTCACACAGAAAATGTTACTCAGTCTGACAACCTTCCACTGAGACACTGGGACAATGATTGTCAGTCACACAGAAAATGTTACTCAGTCTGACAACCTTCCACTGAGACACTTGGACAATGATTGTCAGTCACACAGAAAATGTTACTCAGTCTGACAACCTTCCACTGAGACACTTGGACAATGATTGTCAGTCACACAGAAAATGTTACTCAGTCTGACAACCTTCCACTGAGACACTGGGACAATGATTGTCAGTCACTCAGAAAATGTTACTCAGTCTGACAACCTTCCACTGAGACACTTGGACAATGATTGTCAGTCACACAGAAAATGTTACTCAGTCTGACAACCTTCCACTGAGACACTGGGACAATGATTGTCAGTCACACAGAAAATGTTACTCAGTCTGACAACCTTCCACTGAGACACTGGGACAATGATTGTCAGTCACACAGAAAATGTTACTCAGTCTGACAACCTTCTACTGAGACACTGGGACAATGATTGTCAGTCATACAGAAAATGTTACTCAGTCTGACAACCTTCTACTGAGACACTTGGACAATGATTGTCAGTCACACAGAAAATGTTACTCAGTCTGACTACTTTCCACTGAGACACATAGCCAATGATTGTCAGTCACACAGAAAATGTTACTCAGTCTGACAACCTTCCACCGAGACACTGGGACAATGATTGTCAGTCACACAGAAAATGTTACTCAGTCTGACAACCTTCCACTGAGACACTGGGACAATGATTGTCAGTCACACAGAAAATGTTACTCAGTCTCACAACCTTCTACTGAGACACTTGGACAATGATTGTCAGTCACACAGAAAATGTTACTCAGTCTGACAACCTTCCACTGAGACACTGGGACAATGATTGTCAGTCACACAGAAAATGTTACTCAGTCTGACAACCTTCCACTGAGACACTGGGACAATGATTGTCAGTCACACAGAAAATGTTACTCAGTCTGACAACCTTCCACCGAGACACTTGGACAATGATTGTCAGTCACACAGAAAATGTTACTCAGTCTCACAACTTTCCACTGAGACACTTGGACAATGATTGTCAGTCACAACCTTCCACTGAGACACTTGGACACTAATTGTCAGTCACACAGAAAATGTTACTCAGTCTGACAACCTTCCACCGAGACACTTGGACAATGATTGTCAGTCACACAGAAAATGTTACTCAGTCTGACAACCTTCCACCGAGACACTGGGACAATGATTGTCAGTCACAACCTTCCACTGAGACACTTGGACACTAATTGTCAGTCACACAGAAAATGTTACTCAGTCTGACAACCTTCCACTGCGGCACTTGGAATCATAAAATGTCAGAAATGTTACTTAGTCCATGTTTAAGTAGGACACTGCAATGATAGCCAGTAATACAGAAAATGTCTTACAATCTTCTATGGGATACCAACCTTTACTAATCTCTTGAGGATAATTTTATCTTTGGTGAGGAAAGCTTTGTATCGTGTATACACACCTGTAACACATTCATCATTCATTTTTATATCATCAATCACCATAAATATATAAATCATATATAATATTTACATATGAAGTCCATTGCAGACTCTAATTTCAAAAGAATATATTGAGAAATATCTTGTTTTAAAGTTCTTACCTGGCTTGGAATCCAATGTTTTCAAGCTGCTTGCTTTTTTCAACTTGTTGAAAATTTTTGAAGATCCTTAAATGATAAAAGTAATTTAAGAATGAAAATGTACCGTAAATATTCGTGCATAGTGCGCACTCGCGTATAGTGCGCAGGTACTTTTTGGAGATCAGATTTAAATTTTGTTGTTTTTATCTCCAAACTATCATATAAGACCGACGACTTTTACATATAACTATGTGAAGGGAGGTAATCCAATATGGCGGATGCAGAACTCGGGAATGATAACCCCAGGAATGGCATGTACCTGCGTATAGTGTGCACCCCCTTTTTGACACGACAGTTTCAGCTTAAAAAAGTGTGCACTATACGCGAATATTTACGGTAATTACAATGTGGTAATGTTAGTTATGTGATCAGGATAAGGTAGCAGAAGACCAGTTGATGGCTCACAAGAAGATTATATATCTGGGTGATTACTGTGTGATATACTGGTATATATAGTAAACATACCTATATCAGGCTGTGGTCACACAATCAAATGCTCATTCAAAACTCTTAACAAGTTTTACAACAAAAAACCTTTGACTTGTATTTCACTATATATATCTTTGTTAGCTTTGTTGACCTTTTTGTACTCAAACAAAAGCAATAAATAAAATATGATACTTCTGGAATTTATTTATTTCCTTGTTCATGTCAGAAAAGGGATTATGAACCATGTACAAATTGGTATGAATGGAATCTGTTTGCTGTTCATCAGAAATCATCATCAAAATTAGAACCGGAGACACAGGAGAATTAAGTAATTGTAAACTCGTACCAAAAACATTGTAAAACAAAGGACAGACAACTCACCATGTGTCATTTCTCCAATGCGAATAATATTTGGCCAGTGCTGGAGTGTTTTTGCAAAGAATGGATTCGTCACACCAAGAATTACTGGGGGTCTGTACAAAATAGACAAGAAAGCAAAATAAATTCTCACAAAGATGCTTTTTCTATTTGGTGATATTCTAAGAAAAAAAAAATTAATATGTTTTTCCTTTTTTTTATTATAACCATTATCCCCTACGAAAGGCATTTACCAAAGATGTTAATTTGTGCTCTGTCAATCCATGAGTCCGTGGGATTTTCCAGGCTAAAACTCCACAAAACTTTCTGTATACATTCGGTTACTGGCCTAGTTGTGCCTTTTGCTATTGATTACATTTCATTTATGATATTTTTTTCTGTTAACATGGAAACAGTAAACAAGAGATCCCAGAGGGATCTTGGCGCCCACCATTTGAGGATCTGTTTTCAGTTCTTGAAGATTTTTGTTTATTTTTTTTTGTTTGTTACAGGTGTTGTAAATGTTCATGAACTGGTCTTCATTGAATGTACTCAATGATGGCACAAGATATTTTTATTAAGCACTTATTAGCAAATATCATTTGAAAAAGATCCCAAAGTATTATTAGATAGCAGTCAGTTACAGGTGGATAATGGACAATATGCTTGTGCTGTATTACTGTCGACATCCAAGATGGCTGCCTGTGGGCCACTTTGATTTCAAATCAGTCCAAAAAAGGTACAATGCACAACTAGGGACCAAGGGAAACCAATATCTATGAAATATCAGAAGGATCCATCCAGTACTTCCTCAGGTATAGCAGTAACAAGATTTTACTCTCAAAATCCAAGATGGCTGCCTGTCAGCCATCTTGATTTCGGATCAGTCCAAAAAGGTATAATGCACAACTTGGAACCAAAGGGAACCTGCATATGAAATTTGAGAAAGATCCATCCAGTACTTTCCAAGAAATAGCAGTAACAAACTTTTACATTCAAAATCCAAGATGGCCACCTGTCTGCCATTTGAATTCGAATCAGTCCAAAAAAGGTACAATGCACAACTAGGGACCAAGGGGAAACTGCATATGAAATTTGAGAAAGATCCATCCAGTACTTTTCCAGAAATAGCGGTAACAAACTTTTACTTCCAAAATCCAAGATGGCCACCTGTCGGCCATCTTGAATGCGAATCAGTTCAAAAAAGGTACAATGCACAACTAGGGACCAAGGGGAACCTGCATATGAAATTTGAGAAAGATCCATCCAGTACTTTTTCAGAAATAGCGGTAACAAGAATTGTATACGGACGGACGGACCACGGACCACGGACGCAAGGCGATTTGAATAACCCACCATCTATTAGATGGTGGGCTAAAAACATTTGTATCCAAATCTGGTTAATATTTGCCATGTAGTTTTGGACAAGATGAAAATATGAAATTTATTATGGGTGGCAGACAGAACATATGGCAATTGGTCATCTTGACCCTTCAGTCAGATGAACTGATGATGCATATTATTTCATCAGTAGCATATTTAAAGAAACTACGACTACGACTTACGGTGCCTGTGTCTTTGTGGTGTACTCCTTAAACTCGCTGTCGTGGATTGTGAAATATGGGCGGTAATCACCGTAGAATTTCAGGGGCCCGATCAGACTTAAATAAAACACAACAAAACCTCATGACCACACGTACTTCCATACAATTGTGTTATTTGTTCTGATTTCCTTATCTAAAACATTCTACATTTTCTTGTCTCAATTATCTATCAATCCCAACCCTGAAAAAATGTATGGGTTACAGAATCATTGGCTTTCCCTTGTAGATGAATCTGATTCTTGTAAAGTATTTGGTAAAATTTTCTGATTCAGTTTTGATAAGTTCTGATTTTGTGCCACATTTTCACACTTTCCGATAAAATATCATTAAAAGTAATTCGCCATAAAATCCTGACGGCATCAGAACTGGGATTATTCTTTACATATACTTCTTTCTGTGAAATCATTGATTATTTTTATTGATTTTGGGAGTACAAATGTACCCCTAATCCACAATTTAATACATTTTGTATGTTCACGACCAACAAGTGTAAGCAGATTTATTGAGCTATATTTTATCCATAAAATCAATTTTCAAGGAAATATGAAAATATCAACAAAATAAAAACTGAGCTTCATGAAAAGTACATAATGCTACAGTATCCATACCTGATCAAGGCCTGCACTGTGGATGATGTTACAGATGGAGATGCTGCCATGACAACCAATGGCTGATGAAAAGGAACATAGTTTCAGCAATATTGAAGAAAAATATGTGGAATTTTACCTCGCACATTTCTTTGAACATCATTACAATTTATCAAAAGAGTTAACTTTAATTTTCTTATTTTTCTTGTTTTTTTTTTTTTTTTTTTGTATTTTACTTTTACAGATGAAATCAATGGCATTTTACTTAATATCTACAAGAAAACATTGGTTCATGCTCAGAACAACCCGCCATTAATCTGGATCTTCATGGGGATGCTACCAGAATTTGAATGGCCTTTAGCGAATGTTTTAGGAAATGTGATGAAAATGAATATATTACTAAATTATGGATGAATGGACAGATCAGTGCGACTGGTGGTGACCTAAGTTAACCATACTTACCTCCCCTGCTAGGACTAATTCCCATAACATCTGAATGTGAGGTAGAATAGGTAGAAACGCACTACAAACAAAGAATATATTATAACATCAGCAAATAGGCCAGCAATATGGATCACAGTGACTCACAATTAGTCTCCCTTTTCCAAATTATATTTTGTAAACAGGTGTAGGAGATATGAGTCAATTAAAAGGGAAGAACTCAGCACGTCACATTTTTATCATTGCAGAAGGGAATTTTGCTTAAGGCTGTATCTAGTGTTACATCTTTAACAAATTTACGGGGAGATTCAAACATATCTTGTTTATACAATTCAGATAAAAGAAAAATAATTCAACTAAAATGAATGACCGTTAAACATATTCAGAATTCTTCTTTTTATGACGGTTGGTATCATGTGATAAACGATGTCATGTGACTCATGAAATCACATGACATTATTTTGTCACAACATCAAAAATGTCGCCATCGGGTTATCTTAGTTGACAAAGAACCACAAACCTGTAAATGTCCACTTCATACAGAGAGGGCAGAATGGAATGGGCTGGGACTGTAGGCTGTAATAAAACATTTAAAGATTTCTCTGAATCGTCACATCTTCATGTTAAATTAGGTCCATTTATGATTGTGTTGTGTTCTAGGGTATATCTATTGCAGTAATACTTTGTTTTTTTCCTAAAGCTATTAAAAAGAAAGTATTACCAAAGCACTTAATTTTTTGTATGATGTACAATTCCATTTTTATAAATTTGACTAAAGAGGTAGTATATTTTATGTTTCAAGAGAAGGGCAAGCCCTTACATTGGTAGACCAATCTACAAAGCATATATCAGCATCAACGCCAACCTGGTGTCAAATTTAACATTGTATGTATTACAGTACATGACATACAGTACTTGTCTTGTCAAACATACTGATTTGACTGTCCATATTTAATTTTGTTAACCAATTTCACAAAGTAATGTGAAAGTCTACTGATAGATTTTAAAAATGCAAAAATATTGAAGTAAAAAAAGAAAAAAAATGAAGGGTTCAAAATAAAAATTAAAATGATTTGGAAAAATATATGATTCATTACATTACATGAAGTTATGATAGGAACTTCCACCAGCAAGTATGTTATAAGAGAAATTAGGAGGTATAGGAAGATGTTTTGTTGAAGAGAAAGAGCCAGCTGCCATTAAATAAACATGCAAACAGCGGGTATGCACATGCTGCAAAATTCTACACTATTGACCTTTTGAGAAAGTTGTACTTTTTACCAACAAACCCTGTACTAAACCAAAGTGAGTACTGTTGACCACACCTGTATATATATATATATCATTGTAACCAGGAATAGACTTGCAAAGGCAGACAGTATTAATAATGGACAAAGTAGTCCTGGGATACATGACACACGCAGGTGATACAAACATAAAACAACTTCTACGTAGAATGTATCACTAAAGTTTACTTCAAAATTAAAATCATACGAACTGAAACATAAATTGTTTGATTCTAAATCTACTACTTTAAAAATATGCAAAAATTAAAATTTCAAATTAAAACCATTTGTAAACTAAGTTAAATATATATATATAGAGAGAGAGATTTTGTATTGGCTCTCAATCTGTGCAACTTCGAATTCCATCCATCCATTTTTTTTTTAAATTTCTTTTCTACATTAAATACATCTTTCTATGTTCAAATCTGCAGCCTTGTGTTTTAACAGTGTGGAGTGTAGAACTGAAAAGATCAGTTCCTTGTTTTCAGAATTCAAATTTGTGGTCATGAATTCACAGAATTCTGAATCTTGAGAGGAGCTAAGTGTTGTCTTATTGGTTACTATTTTTAGTTTAGTATAAGTATCAATTGATCACCTGTACTGTAAACATTTTTATCTATTTTAATCCAATAATCAATGTCCTCTTTACAAAAAAGAAAAAAAAAATCCTGGTAAAAATTTTATATGGATATTACATATTTATTGAATTATGAATTATCCCTATCTCAATTTTCCAAATCATTAATTTCATTTAATTTATATGATCCCAGATGTTTTCGATTATGATAGGGTCATTCATATTATCACAGAGGTTTTATCTACTGAAATATTTAATTATTGGTAATTATCCTCATTTCAAAGTAATACATAGTAGTGTCCTCAGGGAACCTATCACTGTTGACTGTATGATCGCACTGTGTCATAAATGTAGCAATGTCAAAATCAGGGGCAGATAATTCATTCACTTAAAACGGCATTGAAGATATGTAAATACAAGATCTTAAAGCTTAATTACTTTAAAGACAATGTGACTAAAAATATAAGATTTTTAAGATCGAGTTCATTGTAGTAAAAAATAAAGATGAGATACAAGACACAATCAGTAAGAGATGTTTATTATCTATATTTCAGAGGTGTATTGTAAACTACAAACTGATGTTGTGTCATTGAAATCTTTCCATTCTGCACCGTGCCATGGATATACATCATACTGAGAATAAAAGACAATATCTACTTAACTTACATTCATTCATTGATGATTTGTAGTATGGGTTAATGTGTAAGTCATGTGACCATTGGGCTCATATAGACATCATGTGACCACTTTGTTATGCATGCCAGTCAGATAACAATTAGTGTTGATAAAATCAATGTTAATGGATAATGATCTATTTCATTATTGAAACAAATATGGAATTGCGGACATGCATTTACATAATTAGTAATGAGAAAGATTTCTTACTTAAGGAAATAAAGATTCATAATTTTAACTTAAACCCGTGTACCAAAACTTCAAGCATTTCCCCCAGCTTGAAAGGAACTTTTTTCATCAGAATGATCAATTTAGCGTTTTAAGTGGAAAAACAGTGCTTTGATATTTTGAATGAATCATAAAATTACAGCCCTCATAACATGTTCCAGTTGAACTCATAAAATGCAATAATTTGTACAATTATGAAAAAAGTATTTGTTGAAGTTTTTAACATTCAAACAGCTGTACTATAAGATGTTAATAGATTCACGAGATGCAACACAGAAACATTTGTAACTAGAATGGCCCTCTGTGGACCAAGATTTCCATAATGGAAGTGTATTGTGGTGATCCCTGCATGCCCAACCTAATGCACCAAGTGACTGACACATTTACACATCATAGTGGCACACTCACCGCCCCAACACGTATGTTTTGACCTCGGCCTAATACTTTATCTGAACGTGATGGAACTCGAGACTGCAAGCCATGGAAAGAAAAAAGATTATGATGAAAATCAATTCAAGACTGTGTTAGAATAAATGTTAAAACAAAAACCAGGCAAGACAACAGCAAAGGAAACAAAATGAAAAGGAAAGGTAAATAAATAAAATATCTAAATCACAATAATTGATAAAAAACGTCCTGAGATTTTCTCTGTGAGAGTCAGCACTTGATTGAACCCATTTCCAATAAAATGTTGTTTCTTCATGTCAGGATAAGATTTCCCTGGATGATCTTGAGATTTCCTTATTTGGTATTGTATACAAAACTTTCCCTCATTTTCTTGCCACATACTTTCAAAACTAAACTAAAATTCACTTTGCTAGTTTCTAACGTAGCATTCTAAGAGAAAGAAATGATGTCTTTCAATATTTTTTTTCTCCCCAAACAATTATCAAAATCTGAAAGGGTGAACATTTTTATTGAGTTGTAGAAAAAGAAAAAAATATTGATAAAACTAAATGGAGTAAAGCTGTATTTCAAACTAATCCTGCTGATGTTTGTTGGTATTTGTAGCTTCTGCCGTGTCCGAAGCAGGTTTGTCAGTTAAGATTTCAAGTCGATTGATTATTGTTTATAAATAACTCAGCCATTGTTAGAGCTACTGCACACATTGGAATCACCAAGTACAAACCAGCACAACTAGCCCAAGAAGAAAAAATAATTACAGTTTCCTATCTGTATTTTTCTTTTCTTTGAATCTTTGAAATGATAAGTCTGTAATGGAACATTTGCTGATCGTCTCTCGTAACAAAGAAATAAACTTCTGCCATTATAATAAAACTTTTAATATTAATACAACTGAAGCTAATCATATTTCATGGAAAAGACTGCATCATATATATATTTTTTTTCACATTATGTAATTTGTTCATTGAAACCTCTCAGACACTGCTTTTTCAGTGTAGAATATTTTGAGTGTACAAAGATACCATGGCCTTCTATCTAAACATTCAAATGGTCGAGTGACAGACTTGTCAGCTGAGGGTGGTGGATGCCAATACTGGTGGAGACATGCTACTCGCTATCTTGTTATATTTATTTTTTCTCAAAACACAATAATATATAATTTGATATGTAGACCAGGCTTTAGACCATTTAGTTTGCTCGGCTAATGAATCTTGTGACCTCAGCCTTGGTGACCCCAATATCTTCTCCACTAGGTCAACCATCTATGGTAACAGCTTTCTATCCATTTTTAGTGAAACAAACCTTTTAATAGAAGTGATGACACAAGATAAAAAGTTCTAAACACATGTAATAATATTACCTCGATGGACGTCTGAAAAGCAAACCAGGAAATAAACAAAAATTAATTATATGTTATTATAACCTTGACCTTCACCTTCTGGGACATTCATTTGTGAAATGTATTACAGGTGTTTAAAGATGTGTATTACAGGTAATTAAAAAAAAGCAAAGCAAGCCAATGATAACTAGTTTTTTTTTAATGATGAGCAGATTTATAATGAGCAGATTCGTAATGATGAGCAGATTCGTAATGATGAGCAGATTCGTAATGATGAGCAGATTCGTAATGATGAGCAGATTCGTAATGATGAGCAGATTTATAATGATGAGCAATGTTGTTATGATTAGCAGTTTCCTAACATATAATTGCTGATAGAAAAAGTTTTATGTTAGGAGTCCACTTACCTGTAGAACACTGCCAAATATGGGCAAGTTGACTGTCTCACCAGGTACTGGATCTGGCCATTGGTCTATATCATGGCATGCTGTAAAAGTCAAATGTCACTACCGTAAATTTGCGGGTATAGTGCGCACTCTGGTATAGTGCACTGGTACATTTTTAGGGTTGGATCAGAAAAAAAAAGTATATATAATATCAATATTGATTACCGGTTACTGCGATGTTTAGATCCATCGATAATTAGGAAACCACAATAAGTGTGACCGTAACCCTAATGCATTTGATTTTCTTATGTAAACAACTTCACCCAGGTGCCTGACTTAACAAGCATGGAAGGCTAGGCTAATTGGATAATTAACGACCAGATATATAAACAACAAACAAATGAAGAATTATTTGGTTAAACATTTTTTTTCACATTGAACAGAATGTCCAGGGTCTAGATTATTTATTATTGTTTGAAGACAAGAAATTTGTATTTTTATCTGATTTTTCCATTAGAACAGTGATTTTCCTGAACTTTTGTTTGTTTATCTACGAAATATCTAAAATGCTATCATATGTTGTTGTAAATGATCATATGTCATATTCAGGTTACCCGTGATTAGATTCGAACACGACACCACGGTGTCATCAGCCATATAATTTATCCATTACTGTATAGGCTTCATAACTGTATTGTTATAAGTCTCTGATTTTATAAAAAGTTCTGAATAAAACGCTTTCTATTTTACTTATACCTGTCAGGTTGAATATTATAACCAATTATTATAAAGCACCTATGACAGAAATGTAATAAGATTATTGTGATGTCACAAATAAATAATTTCTTACATATATATGAGTGTCTCAGAAGAATTTGGTTGGTCTTACAGTAAATATTGGGAAAATAAGCACATAATTTTTGTATAACTTTTTTAAAGAATCTTACAAAAATAGAATCATGAATCCACAGAATTTATGGAATTGAATGTCACTTTTAAAAGACTTGTTACTGTTCAAACTACTGAATTTGTTAAACAAATTACATCACATTGGTACAATTTACCCAAAGAGAATAACATAAAAAACACAAGCCAACAGGATCCCTTTATACATCAGTAATAGAATAAATAATGAATCACATAACATTGTACAGCTGTTTTCTCCTTCTAGGACTTGTCAGTGATACTACTTGTCTAATGTGGGGAAATCTAGAAGGTGTGTTAGGGAAATCAAAATATTCCGAAAAAGGTTACTTGTAAGACAGTTATTCAGAAACTTGATGGACTTCAATAATCTACCTGAAAAATTATCTCTGATGGAAACAAAGTATTGACATAACAGGAACACATAGGCTACCCACCTGCTTCTAGACTTGGTTCACCATTTTCAAAGTACTCAGGAGCTATAATGCTGACAAGTTGTTGGAACAGTGCTACAAATGGCAGCTTGGAGAGTAATACTAAGGACTGAAAGAAACGAAACAATATTCAAGTTTATACATTTGTACTTAAAACAAAGATATGAGCATCATGGCTACATTATCTTCATCAAAGCACAAGTAGTAGTTTTTCTACTCAACTCAGAAGTGGCAATTGTTAAGTTGCTCCGTGTCAATTTCAGCATACTGAACATTTTAAAATAAATAGGAAACTCAACAACATGAAGACTTGGTGTGGAAATTGTCTATATATTTTATTGTGAAAAAACATCTAAGGTTTGAAAATGCAGTACATTAAGAAGCCTTAGATGTTTTTAATAGCATAGCGGCCGAAACATTTACACAGCTTCCACACCAAGTCTTCATGTTGTTGATTTTCCTTTTCATTTTACTATGTTAACTTAGTAAGGAACTCTACTGAATCCTACATGGATTCGCCAAGTTTGCATAAGGAGTGTTGGATCACCAACTATTTATTATAATGAACATTTGTAATGTTGCTCAGTATTTTGTAAATGATCTATCTATTGCTGAATAAATTGTAGAATTTAATCTTTATACAAATTGTCATCCAAATTATCTGATTTTTTCACCCTTTTGTGGACCATGAGCATTCTATGGGATAACTGAACTTGTATGAATTACCTTCTGGAAGTAACCTCTGCGAATTGAGCGATCCTTGGTTTGTCGGAAGAACACAAAGCCATAGTAATAGGCACCATCACTCTGGATAACCAAATGAAGCATCAAAATAATTCTAAAGAAAAGGTCAAAATCTGGTGAGACAAAGATCTTTTTCTCAAACAGATGAGAGGAATATGTCATATGCTACCATGGGATAGAGTTTTCTGCCTGCCTGATATTTTCATACAATCATTATTTGCTTTTCAATGTAAAATCAAAATGGGAGGCCATTCTTACAAACACATGTTTTCAAAAAATGAAATAATAATTAAACAATAAAAAGAATCTGTTACTCCTTATTCAAAACTGATTTATCTCATTCTTGGCTTTGTGTCTAACCAGATGTTGTTTTCTGTGAAGCCTAAATAAAAGACAGATAAATCATTAATGTATCACGGTACAAGATTCTACTTGTCATAATTTTAGTAAGATAATTAAGTTGACTTGATAGGCTTATCAACTATAACTTTGTAAGTCAAAAGCAAATGACATAAATATTACCCACCTGAATTGAGACAGGATAATCCTTACTGAATTGGTGAGATTTGGATGTAGTCTTTCGTCCAGGACTCTGTCTGATTCGAAAGTGAAATTGAGTATCTCCCATACAACCTGAAATGTAAAAATTTGTCATGTGCTATTATGAAGTAACCTAAAATAGGAATTACCATACAAATGTAGTTGTTTTCATACCTCGTATATTAGACAAAACGCGACACAATTTACATGATTTCCTATCACAAATAGGAATACAAAAATATTTTGATTGAAAAATTGCACAAATATTAAGTTAAACACTACTACTGAATGTTTTCTCCAAGGGTTTTCAACATGAGATGTCACTATCAAAGAACAGATATAATTTTTAGACTTTACTATAGAAATTCAGTGAATCAAAATCTTACACAACAGGATATATATCATACATATGCCATGCCTTCAGAAGTTATACAACACTGATTTATTTAACTCACCTGAATTTGAGTCTGGGAAAGACAGGTAACAAATGTTGGCTTTCTGAAATCAAGATAAAAAAAACCTCAAAATTAAAATCATAAACAAGAAGCAAATATATTGATTATATTGCATGATTCAGATCAGGGATTCATGTCAAGTAGCTTAACTGTCATTAAAACAAAGTACATGTACAATGAAACTGGTCTAATCTCCCTGGAATATTCTGACATTTAAGTAGTGTACATAGACATACTGTCTCATCCATCTCTTGTCTAATCTGACCCTCCCTTATGATTCAGGTATAATCTGACACCTTGGTACTCTGACATATTGTTCTGTATGACTCCCTAAGTATTGTTATCTTGTCTAATCTGACCCTCCCTTATGATTCAGGTATAATCTGACACCTTGGTACTCTGACATATTGTTCTGTATGACTCCCTAAGTATTGTTATCTTGTCTAATCTGACCCTCCCTTATGATTCAGGTATAATCTGACACCTTGGTACTCTGACATATTGTTCTGTATGACTCCCTAAGTATTGACATCTTGTCTAATCTGACCCTCCCTTATGATTCAGGTATAATCTGACACCTTGGTACTCTGACATATTGTTCTGTATGACTCCCTAAGTATTGACATCTTGTCTAATCTGACCCTCCCTTATGATTCAGATATAATCTGACACCTTGGTACTCTGACATATTGTTCTGTATGACTCCCTGTATTGACATCTTGTCTAATCTGACCCTCCCTTATGATTCAGGTATAATCTGACACCTTGGTACTCTGACATATTGTTCTGTATGACTCCCTAAGTATTGTTATCTTGTCTAATCTGACCCTCCCTTATGATTCAGGTATAATCTGACACCTTGGTACTCTGACATATTGTTCTGTATGACTCCCTAAGTATTGTTATCTTGTCTAATCTGACCCTCACTTATGATTCAGATATAATCTGACACCTTGGTACTCTGACATATTGTTCTGTATGACTCCCTAAGTATTGTTATCTTGTCTAATCTGACCCTCCCTTATGATTCAGGTATAATCTGACACCTTGGTACTCTGACATATTGTTCTGTATGACTCCCTAAGTATTGACATCTTGTCTAATCTGACCCTCCCTTATGATTCAGGTATAATCTGACACCTTGGTACTCTGACATATTGTTCTGTATGACTCCCTAAGTATTGTTATCTTGTCTAATCTGACCCTCCCTTATGATTCAGGTATAATCTGACACCTTGGTACTCTGACATATTGTTCTGTATGACTCCCTAAGTATTGACATCTTGTCTAATCTGACCCTCCCTTATGATTCAGATATAATCTGACACCTTGGTACTCTGACATATTGTTCTGTATGACTCCCTAAGTATTGTTATCTTGTCTAATCTGACCCTCCCTTATGATTCAGGTATAATCTGACACCTTGGTACTCTGACATATTGTTCTGTATGACTCCCTAAGTATTGTTATCTTGTCTAATCTGACCCTCACTTATGATTCAGATATAATCTGACACCTTGGTACTCTGACATATTGTTCTGTATGACTCCCTAAGTATTGTTATCTTGTCTAATCTGACCCTCCCTTATGATTCAGGTATAATCTGACACCTTGGTACTCTGACATATTGTTCTGTATGACTCCCTAAGTATTGACATCTTGTCTAATCTGACCCTCACTTATGATTCAGGTATAATCTGACACCTTGGTACTCTGACATGTTGTCCTGTATGACTGTAAGTATTGTCATCATGTTAACTCTCTGAAGTGTTTAATAATAATGAAGTTTTCCTTTCATTTTCAAGTAATTAATCCAAATTTTGTCTCATTGTATTAATTCAACAGTGAGCCCATGCCAGGTAATAAGCCTATTCATATATATTATTTCAAGTTGAACTACAATTGTACCTTGACTAAGACAGAGTAAGGTTTTGTATATTGCCCCCCTATATAATGGGCATATTGCAGGGCATCTACTTGGCCCTACATACCAGACAAACCACTAAACTTTATAATGTGTTTGTGGACTATTTCCGTTACAAACCTACCTCAGTATCTGTGAGTTTAACGTGGCCTGGATAGATCAACTGCAATGATATAAATGGAAAATACATTTTGAAAAAAAAATAAATTCTATTGTTACAACAAAAAAATGAATATACTGAAACTTGACTTGTATGACATGTACATAACGATATTTCTAATGCCCTGACCATTAGTAGTACTAAACACTCAGTTTGCATGGCTGATGCCAGCATATCAATCCAATTCTTCAATAAACCAGAAAAAGGGACTAGATCAGTGAATACAATCTACATCCATGTCATGATCACCAGTCCTGTACTCATACAATTTTGAGGGGACTCATAAAATTTTCATTGTGGGGCCCACTTTTTTTTTATAATTAGCAAGTTGATGAGTACTCATGAAATTAGATTGTAGATTGATCACTATTATTGGTTCTAAGATGTTTACCAATTCTTTATTAATTCAATCAAAACAAACACAAATTCGCTAGGGATATCAAGTAAAATGTGGATAGGTATATACATTTATATCTTCCATATGCCAAGATTTTAGAGTGACTTCTGATATTCATGCTCTCTCAATAGGTTTCCTGGTTTAAGTTTCGTATTGTTATGCATTGAAAATTCCAGTCAGTGTCCAACAGAAACAATACATAAATAACAATAACAATTGAATTAAGGTTCTTATACACCAATTTTTCACTGTACTATACTGTCTCAAAGCGATTCACAAACCATTATCTGTAGTTATCACGTCACTAGCCATAATCTTTTTTAACTCTCTAAGGAGCAAATGACAGAAACTTCCACTTGACCCTATAATAGTTTGCAAACAATTCAGAATAAAGGTGTGGAATATCACATCTGTCATTTACTGAAGTCAGATTTGGTAAATGTCAAATGTCATATGAGTGTGTTTATGAAGTTTATATTCGGATTCAGAGTGTGACTTCATGGGCATATCAATGTCGGACTAGCAAGGCCAACTGACATTTGACAAATTTATGATATTTCACAATATTTCCAAAGAGATAGCACACAATGGCGTGTTGTTCAGAGTCGAGTTGTTCCGCTAGTAATTATTGGCCTTTATCATTTATTGATGAGTGTATATGTAGTGACGAGGTAACAAAAGAAAAACAGTTACCAGCTGGTTATTATGATAACAAAAATAAAGAAATAGTACCATCATTGTAAGTCTAATGAGTCAATATTTGACACATCTCCAGTACGAATAATTATTTAACATTTAGACGCGTCGATATCTCCCCTGTCATATTGTTATGGAACTCCACACACTGACAGCAAGATGTCGATCCCACATCAATGTTTTCTTTTTTCGCTTTCGGCGACGGATTTGCTTTTTAACTCAAATACTTACCTCCATCGCCTGCCCCAGCTCCAGATCAAACGTGACAACACACGCACAGTGAAGCCAGTTAGAAAATCGGTCCCAAGGAAGCAGGGTGGGCGACAGGGGGACATCACCAAGCCCCTTCATCATCCCCTCCGACACCCCCTGCTCCATCGCAGCCATTTTTGAACCGACCTTGACCCTCTTTTTAATAATAACAAATTCGATGAAAACAACATTGAAAATATATTGAAAGCATATTATTTAGACATAAAATAAAAACGATATATAAGATAGTATTTTTAGAAACGGAGTTCAGTCTGTCAGATCATGATTTTGTATTACTTTCGGGATTTCGGTTTAGAGATTATGTTGGAAAAATTCAATATGGCTGTCTCCTGAAGCACCCGTTCGCCGAGGCAAAATGAATGGTGAGAAAACTATTAAGTAATGCACTTTTGCAGTCACCTAATTATACATTTCAGCACAATTGACGTTATTCTGATTCATCGTGGCTAATTAATGTGTAATTTAAGCGATTATGTTCATTTGCCAATGCTATCTTTTACTGTTTTTGGGTATCATAACATCGGAAGTTCCTGGTTCCGAAACGTTGGGTTAGAGATATAAGTAATATTTTTTTGTTTGCTTGTTTGACAGTTGAAGGCCTTTATGACATATTACCACATTGTAAACTTCAAAGAAAGTGTTTTAAAGGTGATATGGTAGTTCGAAAACCATCGGTGAAAAATGTCCAGAATACACCAACACACATTCCTATCGGGTCATAGTTGTCTTCTTGAATATGTTTACATGGATAAAGATTATTAACAAACACAACTCTCCAATACACCGTATGTAAACAGCACGAATTCATTCTTGCGTTTGATGCATATCATCAATATTTTTTAAAAATAGATTTGTTTACCATTCTGGCAAGTCAAATGTACAAGTTAATTCGGGAGTGTTCTTGACATATAATATAGTGAAAAAACACTGTTGTCGGCTGAGAACATTTTACAGTTATCCAGAAATGAGACAGCAGACGCAATCAGGTCTAGATGAACATAATCAGTGAACATGCAGAGCCAACTGTAATTCTAAATATGCCTAAATTTGTAAAATTATTATGAGTTGCTAATTGATATAGATAGCAAGCACAGTTCAGAGATTATTAATGAAGTAATATCATTTGTTTTAGGATAAGTCGGATAATTGACCAGATATAGCCATGGCTGCAGGGGTGGCTATTTTGACCTGCCAACCAAGCTCGCATCCATTCCAAGAAAGGCACATATCCTTGATAGAACCGGCTAAAATTGGCCGGTCAGTGGCTCGAGCACGACCAGCATCCAACAATGGAATCTTTGATTGTAAAGTTTTATCCAGGAACCATGCTATGCTGTGGTATGAAAACGGCACGGTATGTATTGATTTCTTACATCATTTAGTAAATGTGGTTTTCAAACACGATATTTACTTTATACATAAACTGATATATATATATGATCAATGAAGTCATAGCAATAGTACGGACAAGCGAATTGTCAAATTTTCGAGGTATCCTACCCCTTTATCAAGACACAAATGTTACATAAATTACATCATATGCATAAAACAAATACAAAGCTGATCTGTATATATATAAATTTATTAGAAAGTTTAAATTCTCGGTGTCGGGTATATACATAGAAAATGATAAAACTGGCAGAAATACTTCTAATTAGTAAAGCATAATTGCATTCATATCAAATCTTCAGATCAGTTAGTATTGACACCATTTATACGAACACGTGAATTGTCAAATTTTCGAGGCACTCTGCCCTTTTATCTGTTGTTATTACTTAATTGATCATTTATACATATATCCTGGAATCTTGAAGTTCTCTAGAAATATGCTCTATATTTTGATATTAAAAAATAAAATAACTACTAAAAAACATTTTTAAATGAAATAAAAAAGGCTGCTCTGGACTGGTCTGAAAAAGATCCTAAAAAAATAGGTTAAAAACATCAGAAGTAAACAAATGAGTTGATAATGTTGCTGTTCAACTGTAACTACATTCATCTAGAAGAAGTTAACAATGCATTGATTCAGTCATCTGGTGGAATTGGATTATTATACAGGCATAATGATTTATTAGTTAGTTTGAAACAAAAGGCATTCAAGACACTGTTGATAAATCAGAACAGAATAATTAAGAACTAATGCGTGATAACATTAATGTTTTTATGCCATGACTTTCACTATTTCTATACTGATTACTTTTCTTCCATTGAAACATATTTTTCCTTCGGACCTATATATTTTGCATATCATTATATGAGTTGACCACATACATTGACAGACCTGAACTGTGTTTTCCTTGTGAACAGGAAGTATTATATATTAGATGACTTAATAAGTTAATTGTAACTCTTTCTTCATGTCCTTGTTTAAATGTTTAAATTGATAAACAAGCAAGATAACACACGAGGAACATAATGTTTACATGTACATACATACTTTGCTTGCTACATTTACTATGTATCATTGCCACTTGAATACTTTATCAGATATGACCTTTAACCTGTGTGTAGTATTTGTTTCAATGTTTTTTACTTTAACTCAGAATGTTTTTGTTCTTTAATAACTATATTTATCTGACAATAAGTCCATGCTCAGCAATTAGCCCATCAATGTCTGTTACTGTTCATTAAAAAAGTCAATGAAAAATATTTCTTTGTCCAGCAACAGCCAAAAAGCTTTCCTGCTTCTTTTAGTCAAAGTTTATATTGTACCCCTGATAGGACAAATAAGCAGATGAGTAGGTTAAACTTTTAGCCCCTTTTGACTTTTCTGTATGTAGTAATTATTGTAGATTTTTTCTGGCTAGTCCAGAGCCTAATTTCCAAAATTTTGATGAGTCCAGTTACAAAGCGATAAAAACATATTTTCAAAATTTTAAGTGAGTCCCACAGAAAAAGCATGAGATAATTGAGCCCCAAAAATCACTGTTAAAACATGAGCTGTAAATGGTTTATAAATCAATTAAAAGTCACAAGAAAACAAGGAATGATAATGGAATTTACATTTGAATTCTAAGTTTCGTCATACAAGGATGATATTGGCTGTATTGTTTTTGTATTATGATTGTTGCTGTGATAGCTTTCAATGGCTGATACTGCACAGAAAACCTGTAATTGTGATAAACCATTCCTTAACTTAGTTATATAGAACATTTAAACAGAACTTTATTGCATGAAGCACAAATGGCTAACACTTTACTTTTGACACTAAGAGAGAGGATGAACTATCATAGAACAATAAGATAGCATTGGTTTGCAATTTATGTGAAGAGCAGTTATATGGATGGGCTTATAACCAAACATAGGCTTATTGTCATATAAATATACTAATATAATTTAAAAGGAATTAGGTGAACGGAGAAAGTCTGGACACAGTCTTTTTTTGGAGCTGGTTAACTTATGTGAGATGGTCAGTTACCTTATGTGAAGTAATTGGCATGGTCATTTCACTTATGAAATATTTGTGCACTGTCTATTTAGTTTGTGTGTTTGTGACACTTTGTTAGAGTTACACTTGGTAAAGTGGTCATTTATAATAATAGTTTTTGTGGTGGTTATGTTTTGTGAGGTGGTCAGTTGAAGGAAGAGGTAGGAATCTGGAATCTGTTCTGTGTAATGTTATTTTGATTTTCAAATGGTCATTTGTGAGGATAGCCATCCAGGTAGAACTAATGCTGATGATATTCCACCAGGTGTACGTAGGTGGGTGTTAGCTATTCCAGTTAGATCTCACTAAATACATAGCCATGATGGATCAACCTGTTTATCCTGACCTGAATACACAAACAATTTAAATGAGATTGGTCAACATGCCTGAGACTGAAAGTTTATTTTTGTATATGTATAAGTAACTGGTTGGAAGATGATGAAGTGATTGCCATATTTGTCCTACAACGCTCTGAACATAAAGTAAGAGTACAGTCTTGCTACATATACAACAATGAAATAGCATTGGTATGCAATTCCATTGATGGACATGTCAAGCACCAGTCATTGACTTATTGTTTGATAACTACGGTACATAGAGGGCATCTATTAGTTTGTCAATTAACTTATATTATACATCAGGATCTTAAGGCTATATACTCTATTTATTCTGATAAAACCTCCTTCCTGAAGATACCCTCTTTCATTAGATTTATGATATGAGTGATCCAGATGCAATGTACAAACCATGATATATACATTATCTATGTATTTATAAGTTGTAATACTACTTCATTAACATTAATTTTCAATGAAAACCTTGGTGATGAATCACTGTTTTGTACTAATTTTACCATATTTCTCTTATGTAGCAGGATATTTTGAAGTGTAAAATATATTTGAAAAAAAAAAAATTGTGTAATATCTTAAAACAGAAAACAGGACAATACATTTCTTGTGTGTTGAATGAGATGTGTTTGTTAGAAGAGAGTTTGATTTGATGTGTGTAGTGATATTGAAAATTCCATCACAATGTGCTTTATATCGTGTACAATGTCTGCCCTTTATGTTTATAATGGAACAATCTTGTCAACCAAATGAGAGTTCCATTAAGGGCACAAGGGGGAGACAAGGCCTATGATAACTGATCCTTTGCTTTATTAGGACCTTAGGACTACTGATAGCCACAGAGAGTGTAAAATTGATTCTTTTTCTTAGTCATGACCAGCCAAGTTGCTCATGGCTGCCTGCAAACTGAGTGATGTGGAACAACCCACTGATACAAGGGGAAGCCCAATTTAATGCACTCGCATAAAAAATGCACAGATTCAGCATCATCTTTTTTTTTTTTTGTGACTTCCAACTTAAAAATTATTATTCCAGTCAATTTCAAAATAATTTAATTGTAAGTGATGTGTGAAAAATTTTACGCTCTAGTTGTCTGTGCTGTGTATGTAATGTGTGATGCATCACGTAGAGATTATGAAGATCATTGGATATTAATTTATATGTTACACAAAACGAGAATTCTATCAAGATAGGTGGCAGACCAACAGTTTTCTAGATAGTTGTCTCTTTGTAGGGAGGATATTTTATATATCTGTGATCTCTCTGTTAGGTACTTTTCATCTGAACAGAACAGGATTGAAAGCTTGTTAGTTAAGATATGTACATCTATCACAACATTATGTTACATGATCTTTGTAAACAAGTGTATAGTAATGATAGGTGACCTGTAAAGACAGGTAATAAATAATGACAGATGGCCTCTATAGACAGGTAAGCAATAGTCATAGATGACCTGTATAGAGAGCCAATTTGTTATGATAGGTGCATGGCCTCAGTAAACAGTTGATTGGTAATGATAGCTGGCCTGTAGAGACAGATAATTGGTATTGAACTTTGACCTTCATAGACAGGTCATTGATAATGATAAGTGACATCTATAGACAGGTATTTTGTAATGGAAGATAACCTCAATAAAAATGTGATTGGTAATGATATGTAGCCTCTATAGACAGGTGATATACCTCACACATGTATGCTCATTTTGTTTACCATTGTCATCTTATTCATCAATAAGCCCGCTCAGCCTCCACTCTACTGTTGTCTCAAATCAGGGTATTCAGTCATGAGTTCATTACGGGTAAATTATGTCATAGAATTTATTAGCATTTTATTTATACTACTGGTGGGTTATTTGGATGCAGGTTTTAATAGTTGTCAGCTTATTGCTGAATAAATACCATGATTTGGTAGTTATGTCTTATTTACCTCTGAATAATTTTGATAAAGTACTGATAGAAAATTAAAAATATAATTCTTAGGAATTTTTGGGGCACAAGTCCTGGACACTTGATTTTCCTGTGGGACTCATTTTTTTGTAACTGAACTTGTTGAAATTTACAAAATGTTCTGAGGAGTCATCAGAAAAAAATTCTACAAAAATTACTCTTACTGTAGACCACATGAAAAATATCTACATTTCTACCTTGTATTGGTTTTTGTTCCAAGCATGATTTTCTATGTTTGTAACAGTTCTGCAGATTGTGTCTGAAAGCCTCCGATGGATGGGTTAAATAATTGATCGTGACAAAAGTGATATAGATTGATTTGAGACCAGGATTGAAAGGAAAATCAGTGAAATTACTGAGAACAGTATGGGTGACATTTACATCGCTGATTATTTCTCTGCAGCTATTTTTGGACAATACAAGATGACCAGGCAGAATCAATGTAATGGCCTGTGGTGTTGTTACCCGTTGTTTTTATCACCAGAAACAGATTGCTATTAGTACAACTGGAAGGATGTTGAGATTTGTTTAGTAATTCAATGCTGTTTTACTCGTTGTTAACAAGTCACAGTTGTCAATGTGGAGCTTTTGTTGGGAGATCTTATATTCTTCAGCTGACACAACTAGAGAAACA